ACCCAAAAAAAGAGAAGGGAGAAAAAGTCCAACCTCCCTCGGAGGGGCAAAAAGCAAGAGTTTGGGAGCGCGATCCTGTTTCCCACCCAAAATTATATTTTTTTTAAAAAAAAAAGGAGGGGAAAAATGCAGCCGATTCCTTCTCCCCCCCCCAAAAAAAAAGCACGCGGGGAGGGCCAGGATCCGAGCGACTGCTGGAATCCTTTCTGGCCCCCGCAGCGGCAGCAGGAAATACCCTGGAACTCGGACGCGACTGTAGCAATCAAACTGGCTACAAAACGTTCCACGGGGGCGGGGCCTCCCGGCCAGTGACGTCGCCCTCCCGTGGGCGGGGCCCCGAGGTGTCAATGGTCTCTGGGGGGGGGGGGTTATGCAACCTCCCCGGCCCACCTCCTTCCCTCCCTCGGGTTGCTGGCTTTCCTTTCCCTTTCTTTAAAAGAAAGGAAAAATCCGAAGCATTCTGGGAAATGTAGTTTGGGGGTGGGTGGGCACTGCGGCGCGTGGTGGTGGTGGGGGCTCATCATTGGACAAGAGGTCATCATCGCCACCATGCAGAAAGGCGCGGAGTTTGTGCGATGGGTGTGTGTGTGTGTTTTTTTTCTCCTTCTGGACGATCCAGGGATTCCACCCAGGAATGCCCACACCCCTCCCCCCCCAGTTAAAAAAAAAAGGCACCGGTGGAAGAAAAGCACTTGAAAATCAGTCATGGCATTATTTGGAGGGTAATGCCTGTGTTTTCCATTTCCTTTCCATGCCCTCCCCCGGCTTCTGCTGCATGTTCACAACAACCCTGACAGGTAGGCGAAGACCGAGAGCGAATCAGCAGGTCTGGCCCTAGATAAAGAACAGCGTGGCATACCTTCCCATTCCACGTTGTCCTTCGCCTGCCCGCCCCCCCCAACAGCAGACTAGCTTCGAGGGAATAAACTAAATGGCTTACTGTTTGTTCTCCTCCAGCCCCTTGCTACCTGAATCCAGCACATGAAGGGGGAGACGGCCGCTTCCCATCGCCTAACAGTAGGGCTGGCCCTGTCGCGACACCATCATCCCCCACGCACCCACCCCCTTTGAAGAGCTCTCTTTCAGCAGCTCCCTCCCCACTGGAGTCTAACCCTATTTATGCCAGCGCAGCTTTAAACCCTCCGAATAAGGCCACCAGTTATGGACGGCCATTCCCAACTGTCCAGGTGCGGTGGATGGGGGGGTGAAGTCTAGAACACCTGGACGGCCAGCTGTTTTCCCATCAGCTGCGGCTCCTCCTTTCCCCTCCACCACCAAGACACAAATGCTTCTAAGCACAGCAAAAACTTACCACCCCCCACTCCCACCCCTTCTAATGGGAAGACAGTGAAGTGAGGGCTAAAGAAGAAAAGTTTACTATTCTGGAGTTTAAAGCAATGGCTAAAGGTTCTGAAGAGGTGGGGCTCAGACAAAGTGAATATATTATGGGGCGGGACAGAGTGCTCCTACTCCTGTGCAAACCCACCCATACATCTTTTAATCCTCAGGAAACCTATACCCAGGATCCCCATTGGCTCCCAAATACCAGTATGTTATTCAAATCCAACTGGTCTCAATGCTAAGAAAGTTGGTACGGGCGGGTCAGAGGGCAGATCTGAGAGGATCTCTGCCGGAGCGCTGTCCGTCTTTAGGGAAAAAGAGGTTAAGAACCAAGGGAGAGAAATGGGCCCGGAGGAAAGAAGGAAGCGACCAAGAGACTTCTAGGGAAGAGGAGGAAAAAGTCAGTTAAAAGAGGTGGGAAAAGCAGAGACGGGGACTGGTGGGCAGGAAAGGAGAGAGAAGAACCTAAGGAGAGGAAAGGGTGGGAGGAGGAGGCAGAAGCGGGAGCAGCCGAGGGAAAGGAAAAGGAAAACGTCCTTCCCCCTTGGGTAGGAATGGCTTGGCTTCACGGGTCCACAAATGGGAGAAGCTGGCGGTCCCGGTCCCGTGGGAAGAAGCTGACCGGAGGAGGAGAGACTTCCCCAGAAGCTGTCCTATTGGGGAGAGAAAGGAGGGCCGGAGTGGGGAAGAAAGATCTGGGAAGAAAGAGAGAGACAGAAAAGAGAGAATGGCTCCATGGATGAACAGAGGCAGGGCGGCAAGATCTGATCAGCCCAGGAGCACGAGAGCTTTCGCCTCTGGGAGAGGTGCCTGCGCAGGCCCAAGGGCCCTTGTTGTCACCATCACCAGGGCCAACATGGATGGACCGAGGGTGTAGGAAGACACGGTGGGACCGCACCTTCGAGAACCCGTCTCAGCTTCAATCCTAAGAAACGGTTTATGATCCTGTTGGGTTCGGCAGAGTTCTTGAACGTCAACGTTGACTTAAATAGTTTTTAGATATTCCTAAAATAAATGTTGGCTGTTTGAAAGCAGAACAAGTCTCTTGTGTCCGAACTGCCAATGGCCCCAGGTACTGATCACCCCCCTCTTGAAAGATGAACCCTCACACTAGGTTGACCTCTAAATAGAAACGGCCCCAAGTTATATGCACCAAAAGACAGAATCTAGGCTGTGGATCCTGCCGCTCGTGCTTCCAACACCCTGGCATTCCCAGAGGATTCGCGCACATCCTTCGCCGTAGCAGGATCATGGACGGCCGGCCAGCTTTTGCGCAGGTTCTCCCTCATCTCAGAATCTGAAATGCCACTACGTACTGAGAACTGGCTATGAACAGTGAGACTCCGGAGCACAGATAGGATGATGGGTTTGGGCCCATGTTTCTGCGTTTTGCACTGGCCCACTACTGGACTATATCCCCAGAACTTCTCTGAAGTTAGAATAAGGGGTTCTCCATCTAATGCAGTAAAAATCCAGATCCTGTCCTCCCCTCCCCCCGCCATTTGCATCACAAACACCGCTACTTTCATCCTAGGACCAGGCTGGTACTCCTCTCCAGAGGTGCCAGACACCTCTCACCGTGCTGGCTGGGAATGATGGATGTTGTAATCCAACACATCTGCCACACAAGCTTTACCCTTTTGCCAACACCCGCTTGTTTATCAACAGCAGGGACGGACATGGGCAGGCCCCGGATCCGGCTCTTCTAGTTGGCCTGGTTTAGAACTGCTAGAAAATTGCTATCCACGCCGATAGAAATAGAATTTGAAATGTATAGAAGAGATCACTCACAGTATCATTACTGGACCAAAACCTCCAGCTTCCTCCAGCGTCGTACTGGACTTCACCTCCAATCCCCCAACAACTAGGCCAATAGCCCTGCCGGTTGGGGAGGGTAGGAGGTCTAGTCCCTCCTGGACAGGTGACAGTTCAAGGAAGGCGGGCTTAAAAGCTTCGAATGCGCAAACGTTATCTCACGTGGAAACAGTTCAGCCAAAGCTGATAAGGCTCGAATTTAGCTACAGGTTTCAAGGATAGAATTTTACGCACTTGAAAGCACATCAAATTATATTTGGCTGAATCATACTGCAATAAATTTAGGCTCCAGTATTTGACGGAATAGTCAAAAGAGAAGAGCAGTGTGAATACAGAGTTTTGTCTATAATTTTGATTTAAACATTATTGCCAATAGGTTGAACACACGGAAAAGGATTGCTCCCGAAATGTGGAGTCAGACATTTCTTTCTCTGCATCTATGCCTGGTATGCAGACCTTTTTCATAAAAGGCTTATATCACACCTAAGTATCTGTTTACTTTGGACAATCAGCTAAATCTACAAAATCTGAATACACAGTGGTGCCTTGCTTAACGAGCGCACCGTAGAACGACGAATCCGCATAGCAAGGACGTTCTAGCAATCGCAAATGCGATCGCATACCGATGGCCCCTATGGCCGAAAATCGCTTTGCGAAGATCGGTAAGCGTTTCGCTTACCGATCTTCGCAAAACGAAGCCGCGGACCAGCTGTTTGGCAGCTCCAAAATGGCCGCCGGAAGCGCCGAAATGGCCGCTTCCGAGGGGAGGGCCCCAGCGTTTTCCCGCCCTCCCCTTGCTTACCGAGGGTGCGAAAATGGCTGCCGGCTATAGGAAAACTTCGCTGAACGGTGAGTTTTGGAGCCTATCCGATGGCTTTCCCCATCCCGTGCAGTGATGTTTTCACACAGCGAGGGTTAATCCGGAACGGATTAACCTCACTATGCGAGGCACCACTGTAGTACATCCATTTCTGGAGCTTGGAGGGCTGCTCTCTCTCAACCCCTACCCTATTTTATCTCACAAAAAAGTTTTTCCCCCCTGAAAAAGCTCTCTTGTGCCCTCTAGTGGCCAAAGATATATATAGTATATCTTTCAAAAATTAAATCATTTTGAGTGGGGACCCTTTCAGGCAGCAAATTGCCCCGTTCCCTAGCGCAGAGGTCCCCAACCCCTGGTCTGTGGCCTGGTGCTGGTCCGTGGGCTTCCCAGGACCTGGCTGCAGAGATGGATCTCTGCTCCCCAGCCCGCCCGCACAGTGGGCATGTTGCGCTTGTGGGTGTGTGCACCATGCCCATCCACGTGTGCAATACGACCATCCACGAGTGCAACACAGCCACCTGTGAGTGTGGGGGAGCCCCCCAACCATTCTGCAATTCCAGTGTGTGCACCATGCCCATCCACGTGTGCAATACGCCCATCCACGAGTGCAACACACCCACCTGTGAGTGTGGGGGTGTCCCCACATCCCATGCACGGAGCCCCCCAAACCATTCCACAGTTCCAAAAAAGTTGGGGACCGCTGCTCTAGCGGGTACAAGCAGACTTTTTAGCCATCATAAAAATTTTGTGGGGTGCTGGAGCCACACAATGCCCATCCCTAAGCTAAATAAATGAATTTAAGGTAAGGGTTCCCTTTGACAATTTGTCCAGTCATGTCCAACTCTAGGGGGCGGTGCTCATCCCCATCTCCAATCCGTAGAGCCAGCGTTTGTCCGAAGACAGTTTCCATGGTCACGTGGCCAGCGTGACTAGACACGGAACACCTTCTAACCGTGGTGGTACTGCTTTATCTATTCGCATTTTTACATTCGCATTAACCACATTTTCATCTTCCAGTAATTAGCTAGCAACCTTCAAGTCCAAAGTGGCCACCTTCCAGATATCTGGGACACACCCACAACCCCCCCAAATTTCTAACCAAGGTAGCTTTTAAACAGAAAATGCATTGTGCCCCCCTCTCGTGGCCACTTTCTTTCTTTTTTTAAAGAATGTGTCTGTGGGGTGGACATATATGGTGCTGGGATAACTCTGACAAAACTGCCCACTACCCCATAGGAAGCACCAGGGGAATTTGAGACACCCCCTCCCAAAAAAAAGTAAGAACCTGAACTATGGGACCAGATGTTGCACCCTGTTCTGTTCCAGCTGTATTATTCCTGATATTTAGAATGACCACAGAAGTCTTTCCTCAGTCTTTTCAGAAACACTAAAGAGAAAGCTGTACTGTCTACTTCATTTCCAGAATCTGCCCCAATAGCACCCTGTTCTGTTCCAGCTGTATTATTTCTGATATTTAGCATGACCACAGAAATCTTTCCTCAGAAACACTGAAGAGAAAGCTGCACTGTCTACTTCATTTCCAGAATCTGCCCCAATACTCTGATTTACACAGCCTAACTTTCCAGTCAGTTGCCAACTGAGCTGGCCTTTGCTCTAACTCTTGTTTAAGGGTCCACAAGTTATCCGAGCTCGCTTGTGAATCCCCTCCTTTGCACGCAGGAGGCACCGGTTTCACGCCGCCAGCATCTCCTAGGTAAAATGCTGAACAGCCGCTGCAAGGCTACGCTGATAGTACTGGGTTCCGGGGGCCTGTGGTCTGACTCAATGTGAGCCAGCTTCCAAGGGGGTTGTTTTTCACAGCAGCCTTCTGGACCGCAGGTGGCCACACTAGGCATTCTGACACCTAATGCATGAAATCCAAAAAAAGCTCTCCCAATAGGTATCTATACCATGTGGCCCATTCATTGCTCTGTACTGGTGCTCCAGACCTGCCTTATGAAGAGTGCTGTCTTACCCTACCTAAGACTTAAAGATCCATCCATGGAAACAATGGAGTGCCCTTTCCCTTAAACTGAATACCATTGTCAGCAGGTTGAATGAATCTGAGATATTCCTGAACCAAGGAATCACAGCCACAACCAGCATCCTACTAATACGTGTGCCAGTAAATCTCCAGACATCCCTTCAAGTTTCCGATTGAGCTCAGGGTTGTAGTGGAAGCACAGACTGAAATGCTCAGTAGACTTGATTAGGAGTGATGATGACAGAATCTGTCATCACCACACCTCCAGGTTCTCCCATCGCCTCAGACTGAAATGCTCAGTAGACTTGATTAGGTTCTCCCATCGCCTTGAAAAACTTAGCTATACAGTGGTGCCTCGCTTAATGATGATAATCCGTTCCAGGAAAATCGCTGTTAAGCAAAAACATCGTAAAGCGAAATTAAAAAGCCCGTTGAAATGCACTGAAAACCCCTCAATGCATTCCGATGGGCTAAAAACTCACTGTCCAGTGAAGATCCTCCATACGGTGGCCATTTTCAGTGCCTGTATAGCGAGGAATCAGTCACTAAGCCCAGCGGGGAGCCATTTTAAGCACCCGGCTGCCATTTTGAAAACCTGACAATCAGCTGTTTTTGATCGTCGTAAAGCGAAAATTGGTTCCCAAAGCAGGGAACCTATCACCACTAAGCAAAATTACATTTAGACCATCATTTTGCAATCACAAAAACATTGTCGTAAAGTGGATTCATCGTAAAGCGGGGCAATCGTTAAGCGGGGCACGATTGTACGTCCTCCAAGTACCTTGAGTTTGGGAGTGGGTGGGATCAATTTGCTCAGCTATACTTCAATACAAAGCAGAGTAATATAGCATGCTCGGGTCTTGAATATGTAATTCAAAGCCGTATGCCTCACAAAACACCCGTTACAATGGGTCTGGATAAGCATCAACACAGCTACCTGCATTTGGGGGCTAGGGGGATGGTTGTGATGGGCACCTGAACTTCAAAATGTATCAGTTTTACATCCTGTGTTAATGTCTTTACCAGCCCAAATCTTGAGTGAAAGATGCCTCGCCTCCCCTTTCTCCCCACTACCCTAGTCTGATAAAAAGTTGGCAACGGAAGAGGCTGCCCCAGTTCTCAGAGAGGGTTCCAGCCTCAGTCATGATGGTGTTCGGAGTCAACTTTTATTCACATGCTGGAGACAGAGTTAGTCGTCCATCTCCTCTCCTTCCAAAGTCATGAAACTACAGAAACTCAAGCGGAGGATTCTCATCCCAAGACGGCCCCTCTTAAAAGCTGCTCCGTCACTCTGGCTTACAAGAGCATGCCGGCTTTCTCGTGGGTCCTTGAAAACAGTGATTTTGTGAAAGCAATACATCATGATTATATTCTGCACTCAGGAGGGAAGAAAACAAAATTAAGAAGGCTTTCATTCACACAAGGCTCTAAATAAAAATAAAAATAATAAAAAATAAAAGCACTCCTCCAGTGTGAACGCTGCTGCTCTCAGGCAGCTGCCGTTGTTGTCCAGGCTAGGAGTCTAGTATTCATCCAGAGTATCCGCACGGGGGATGGAGAGGCCCCGCTCCTTCAGCGCTTGCACTTTGAGCTTCTCCGACTCCTGCTTGGCTTGCTGCTCCACCCGCTGCACTTCCAGGATCTCCTCAATCGAGACTTGCTGCAAAGGGGTGTCACTTTCCTTCTCCAAGTCCTAGAACAGTAAAAGAAGGCCTCAGTCTGAGAAAAGAAAGGCTCTGCTTAGACCAGCCTTCCCAAGGTGGCTGGACTCCAACCCTCGTCACCTTTAGCCATTAGAGCCCATGGTGAGGAACGCTGGGAGCGGCAGCTCAAGATCCAGAGGGCTCTCTCTTTGCCCAATGCTGTACGAGGTGGAAGAAATGCTATGAAGGCAGGTGAGCCCTGGCATTATGGCACAGTCCACTGGTTCCCCAACTGTGTGCCCCAGTGTGCTGCCAAGGTGAGCCCTGGCATTATGGCACAGTCCAGGGGCTCCCCAACTGTGTGCCCCAAGGTGCTGCCAAACCCAGTCGGGGCACTGCGGCATCCGCGGAAATACTACTCAGATTGGGCTCCCCCCCCACCCGACGCCACCCCATGGGGAGCCGTGGCCAGTAAGTCAAGGGAACCACGAGTTGAAAAAGCCCGGGAACCCCTGGCATATTCAAAAGGACATAAGCCATTGTTAAGATACAGCAGCAAGAAAACAGAACTCTACATTACCTGTAACACTAACCAATTCATTATAGCACAACTTTCAGGGATACACTTCCTCAGATGCATGGAGCGCAATCATAGCCATGCGTGTGTGTTCGGAAGGGTAGATGGGATGCAGAGAGTGAGGTGAGAGTGGATTTAAAGGTAAAATTATTAGCAATGGCAACCAAATTAATATAAACATCCTGGAACCATATAGCATTTTTTCCCCATACAGTAGCCTTTTTTCCATGTATAACTACTGGCCAGCTCAGTGGCTTACGTAGGTCTCTGGCCACGTAGCCAGAGGTTGGGCATTTGATTCCCCCCCGGTGCCTCCTGGACAGGGACTGGACTGAAGCATCCATAGGGTCCTGTCCAGCTCGGCAGATTTGATATGAGGATAAGAAAAAAGATCTTGTGCCACCTTTTAAAGACCAGTGAGCCAGAGGTTGGGCATTTGATTCCCCCCCCCCAGTGCCTCCTGGACAGGGACTGGACTGAAGGATCCATAGGGTCCCGTCCAGCTCTGCAGATTTGATATGAGGAGGATAAGAAAAAAGATCTTGTGCCACCTTTTAAAGACCAGTGAGGAGAGTTTTTGAAGATTAAAATCAAGACCAGGGGTACTACATTTAAGTCACAGGTATGTAAATATAATCCAGAATCTTTTGGTCTCACGCAGAGTAAACCGGGGAAAAAATGCACAAATTGTGCACGGGAACTTATTGGCATGCTTGGATTGCACAACTGGTTGTGCAATCGTGTGTGGGACAGAGGACTGGCAAAATGTGAAAACTGATTTCTTGATCGCCCTTGCATGAATGGAGCTTCATAACAGATTTTTGGCTACAGTGTGTCTAGTAATCATTGGGCGTAATTAGCTAATGCTAAGCATCTGTAGGCTGATAAACGGCAGGGCGTTTGTCTTTGAAACGCTGAAGCAACGTGTTCTGTTCTCCAGAAAGAGCTGTGTGTGCTGAGAGAGAAGAGGGTTTTTTTTGTGAAAAATGAAAAGAACTTTCTGATTATATACAAAAATGTTGTGAAAATTACCTTCTGGACAGTGTACAGTACTGGGATGGTCCAGTCTCTTTTAAGGCTCCACTTGTAATACTGAAGTATATGACTCCCAGCTCAAGTGTTTCCCATTCAAATGCCCCTTTGAAATTCCTTTTTTTTCTAAAACAGTTGCTTTGAGGTCATAATGTCAGATGGTGCCCACTGTTTTTTCTTGTGTACAGATTGTTCTGTCTAACGACGTAAAATGCACTATTGGCAGAGGACAGCACAGATCCCAGATGAGCAGGTAAACAAGACTCCTGGTGTTATTATAGGAGATATTTCTGGGACCCATAATGCTGCTGCCAGGCATGAACATGCAGTGTGCAGCAGGATCTTACTCTTGTCTCTGTGCTCATGTTCTGCACCCATTTAAGACTGGGAAACTGCCCTTAAGTGAAAAAAGTCTGGTCACTAAGTACATGGGAAGGAGAAGTATTATTGTTGAGAAATGGGGACCAATGACGTTGAGTGGTCTCCGTTGGGAGCTACATGTGACTAGTGCGGTTCCATCTTTTTGTTTTGTTTTATTCTTTCTTGTCTTGTAGCTTGGTTTTGGGTACCAGCCCTTCCCTGTCAATTTGTTTTCTTTGTTTCATCGAGTATAGTGTTCATTAAATAGGATCCCTTTATTTTAGTGCTTGTTCAGATCCACAAAAGAGACTCAAAATTCATGGATTTACATCAGGCGGTCCTTAAACTACGTGTTCTGTGCCACTTAGTCAGTATGAACTTACAGTGACTCTAATAAATCTCTCAAGGTAAGTGAGATGTTCAAGGAGTGGCTTTAGCAGTTCCTCCCCGCACTTGAGTTTTGATGGCCAAACAGGGATTTGAATCCAGATGTCCTGAGTATTAGTCTGTTACTCTGTCCACTACAACACACTGTGTCCTATCTTGGCTCCTTAAACTGCACTACTGTATTCATATTTCATGATACACTAAGACTGAGTTTACTAGTAAAGCAGATGTTCATGCTAGTGACTATTGAAGGCTCATTAGAATTGGCTAGACATGATACTCTTGTGGTAGCCAATCTATTAATACAAGTACAGTAGTGTGCTAAAAAACCACTGCCCTTATTCAAATGTTTGCTGTTAGACTAGACCTTGTGAATGTATCCTAACCACAGCTTTTGTTTATATGCTGGAGTCCTTCCATTACACACAGAAAAGAAAAGAAAAAGTCTGGTTACAATGTTTTCCCTGACACATGACCCTTCAACATTCTTTAAAGCTCACAGGTTCTTAAGATACAAAGGGATTTGAAAACATTTCTTCTGCCTTAAACACAGCATGTCTGACTGCAGAAAATTCTGTAGAAATTTTTCCAAAGTAAAAAAATTCCAGAACTTTTTTCCATTGCTGGGGAAATAATCATAGTCCCAAAAATGTGCTACCAGCAATGTGGGCTCAACTAGTTCTGAATAAGATTGCCATCCCTCCGAAATTGAAATTAAACTGAAATTGAAATTCTATAGAGATGGTGAGAAACCAGAGGTGTGCCAATGTTCAAAATGGAAGAGAATTAAATTCTTTTGGAAGCAGGTGACAATGACAACAACAACATGTAATGCACAATTGACCAGATTATCAAAATTGATGTGTCATCTATTTTCAGTGGATTAGTCTTTAAATTGTCCAAACAGACTAGATAGCTTAGTGGTACTCTTTCAATTTAAAAAAATTAATAAATCGATGTAAAAGAAATGTATGTACATACAGTGGTGCCTCAACTTACGAACTTAATTGGTTCTGGAACTCCAGTCGCAACTCGCATTGGTCGTAAGTCGAAGCACCATTTCCCATAGGAATGCACTGTAATGCAATTAATTCGTTCCAGCCGAAGGAAAAAAATCACAAAAATTATAAATAATTAAAAACCAAACAAACACTGCAAGACCCGTCAGAAACACGATTAATCCGTTCTGGCCCAAAGGGGGAAAAAAAAACCCTGAAAAGCAAACAAACACTGCAAGACCCATCGGAAGCGCGATTGATCTGTTCTGGTCGAAAGGAAAAAGAAACCCAAAAAGCAAACAAACACTGCAAGACCCATCAGAAATGAAAAATAAAATCACCAAGAAGTAAACAAACCCTGCAAGACCCATCAGAAATGCAAAAAAAGAAAAGCAAAAAGCAAACAGAGAGTGCAAGACCCACCAGAAATGCAAATAAAAAAAACCCTAAAAAGCAAACAGAGAGTGTTAAGACCCATCAGAAATGCAAACAACCAACCAAACAACCAAAAAGCAAACACAGACTGCAAGACCCAGCAGAAATGGGGGAAAAAACCAACAACCAAAAAGCAAACAAACCCTGCAAGACCCATCAGAAATGCAAAAAAAAAAAGAAAACCAAAAAGCAAACAGAGAGTGCAAGACCCACCAGAAATGCAAATTAAAAAAAAAAACCTAAAAAGCAAACAGAGAGTGTAAGACCCATCGGAAATGCAAACAAGCAACCAACCAACCAAATAACCAAAAAGCAAACACAGAGTGCAAGACCCAGCAGAAATGGGGGAAAAAACCAACAAACAAAAAACAAACAAATCCTGTAAGACCCATCGTAAGTCAAGGCACCACTGTATTTAAACACAATGTTCTCATAAAAATAACTACATCAGGTTTTGAGTTGTTTGATTATAACTGTAAAACCACATTAAATGCACCTTCCCCCCCCTTTCCCTTCATCTCACACATTCATGGGCTGTTGGGATCATGTGCAAATCCGACTGTTCTCTTTTTAGCGTGTTGGGAAATTCTTCAAAAAAAAAAAAAAAAAGGTTTCCACTTCAAAATGTTATGGAATCCACATCATTGCACACTGTGTAGGTGATCCCATCGTACTTGCAAAATGTTCAGCATGGAATCCCCTAATTTTAGTGTTAGAAGGAATGATGAGAGGGGGCACACATTTGAGACTTACCTTTGGTGGGGATCAGCTTTTCCCCCATTAGAATAAAACACAGTAGTACAAACCACCACCTGATAAACCTAAAGCAAGTCTACAGAAACCAGAAATTGGCTTACTCACAATTTCCCCTAGGAGGACCACGTTCTCGCCTCTCACCACGAAGATGCCACGTGGGATGTCACCGTATTTTCTGCCTACATGAATGCGCTCCACTGTCTGGTGCAGAACCAGATTGGCTGCAGAGTTCAGGAACAAGGAAGAGAGGGGAAAAAAGGAGGAAAACAGGATTTAAATGGGCGTCAGCTAGAAAATGAACATTAAGCCACAAAGCTCCAGTATGCTTTATGCTTCTGCTTGAACCGTGCTCTATGAGGCTAACAGAGAAGCAGTTTCCATCAAAATGCACCTTTCCCTCAAGAAACTAAAAGTGATGCAAAGGGATTTCAATCCTTTCAGCCTCACAGAAACCCTGTGAACCTGGGGTACGGTTTTTCTGCACTATTCATGGAGGGCTTGTGCTAAGCCTGAAGAAGAGACTCTGTTCTCCATAAAAGATTGCAATCTGTTTGAGAGAGAGAGAGAGAGAGAGAGAGAGAGAAATGCCTGTAACGAGTGACCAGACTAAGGGAGTGCCATTGCTCCCCTGCTAGTAGAAAATAGCTTACTAGCCTGCAAAGAGGCTGCTGTTGTGTGGTTCCATGCTGGCCACACGTGGAAACTTCTCTTCTTCAGTGGAAATGCAGGAGGCCCGTTTATTACCAGACCAGGAAAAATGGACTAGTGACACATATAGGTCTAATCAAATGAATAGCCCGCCATTTATACTCCCCCCCACCTTTCTAAGAGGGACGCGGTGGCGCTGCACGTTAAACCGCAGAAGCCTCTGTGCAGAAAGGTCAGAAGACCAGCCATCCTAAGATCGAATCCACGCAACAGAATGAGCTCCCGTCGCTTGCCCCAGCTCCTGTCAACCCAGCAGTTCGAAAGCATGCAAAAATGCGAGTAAATAAATAGGTACCACCATGGTGGGAAGATCACAGCATTCTGTGTCTAGTTATGCTGGCCACGTGACCACGGAAATTGTCTTTGGACAAACACTGGCTCTATGGCTTGGAAACTGGGATGAGCACTAGAGTTGGACACGACTGGACTAAATGTCAAGGGGAAGCTTTACCTTACCTTACACCTTTCTAAAAAAGAATGGCACTCAACCCAGCTAATGGTAAAAACAAATGTAAGATGTGAAACTTAATTTTAAAACAGAACATCAAAGAAAGAATGGGACACACACCAATAAAGACCCTTCAACAGGTATTTATTTTACCTGCACAAGGTAATGTGAATAGAAAGGTAGTTGCTTGCTGGCAGGGAACAAGGAAGGGCTAAGCCTAACCTCCTTTGGTATGGGGTTCCATATCCTATAAAGTTATGCAACCCCCCTCCCTGTGAAAAAACACAATCAAGCAGGACTGTATGATCGGGAACAGAAAAGTATCAAACATTCGGTTCTACAGACAGGAACCATGCAACGCTCAATAGATGCCACAGGAGTGGAGCCAACTCCAGCTCTGTTTTCCTTCTTTAGACGGCGGCCTAGATATATTTTTCTTGGAAATGGAGGGCTATGCAATTGCAACTGGCTACATATTTTTAAACAGAGAAAAGGGACACAAGGACCTCTTAAAACAGCTTTCAAGAGCTTTTAGCCAGTCAGAAAATGCAGCTTCACACTATCAATTTCTATTTATGGGGCTTTTAAAAATTACTGAACAATGATTTTATGTGTTGTGTATGTAATAAGCACGAACTATTTGGCAAGCGAGATGTGAATTATAAGTCAGCTTATCTTGAAGAAAGCCAGAAGCTCTTGATGCTGCAAACTGAAGTGGAAGATCACGCAGATACAAATGGAGATTGCCAATTCCTGGCCACAGGGACACATGAAGCCAACCTTACATGAAATTTAATGTATCGTTTAGACGTGTCTTCCTTTAGCTGGACCCTTCCACAGTAGGCTGATGATTCTGGGAGCTCTAGTTCAACATACAAAGAGGGGACCCCCTAATGGCAGGCTGAATTTATAAACTCAGGTTTCGTCAGTTTTCTGGAAGATTGGTTGGAAGCATCCACTACATGCTGTGTTTGGTCAGCACACTGGAAATCCAGTTTCTAAGGCTGCATCATTATTAGTATCTCTGTAAGGCCTTGGAAGAAGTGTTAAAAATGCTCGTTAACAGAAAGCAAGTCAGACACACTTTGGTCAACACACATCCTACAAGCAGAAAATATCTGCCATTGTTTTGGTCGTCGGTAGCTCAGACAACTGTCATAGAAGCAATGGTGGCATTTGACATCATCATCAACCCATAGGTTATCATGAGGTGGGCATCCTGTGGTGTGGCCCTCAGAGGCAAGATGTTCTGACACTGATTTGGAAAGCCCTTTGGCCAAACGATCGGTCCATCCCCCAGCAGCCTCCAACATTGGTCTGAGGCTCAATCTCTGCCTTCTCCAAGGAGTCCCAGAGAAAACATTTGCCCTTTAAACCCCAAACAGCTGCCACCAAATAATACAACTAAGAGGCTCCAAGCTTTTGAGGGCTGAGACCTGCAGGTAGCCCAAAAAATGCAACTGGAGAGTCCCTTCTGTACTGTTTCATGAGGTGGCAATAGTACACCGGCAACCCCATGCAAGCCACATTGCAGTCCGTTAGTGGGGCCTCATCTACCAGATAATGCATGTTGTAGAACAAAGTGAGTGCCTTCTTAGATGGCAACCCCCATTGGCACCAGCAAAGGATAAGGAATAGTAGAAACTGCAGTCCAACATCTGGAAAACCACTCGTCCATCATCAGTGTATGTGACACTGACCTAGATGGAGCAGCCACCTCATTGGCGTAAGCATCTCATGGCCATAGCCTCCTTTCCCTTCATCCATACACCAGTTGTAAGGATACAAAGAAGCTAAAAGAACAACTAAGACATAGCAAAGACTTTGCTAAAGCTGGAATATAGGAGAATCTAAAATAAAGACGGCTTTTAAAGAAAGAAAATATGCTACCAATGCAGAACACTGCTATAACCTCCGATAAAACACAAAGTGATCTTATAAGAATGCAAAAAATAAAATAAAAATAAAAATGAAGAGCTTTCCTTCTGAGCTTGCATTGTTCCTGGAAATTAACTAGAATTTTCTGTCCCCTTTCTACTTTGGATTAAAATTGAGCTTCCTTACCGTGTTAAATCTACAATGTTCCAGATGTTTGAACGTAATTTCTATTTTGGTTCTCTCTCATAATCTTGATTTTTACTAATATTTTAATGTTCAACCCAAGTCTCGCTACTTTTAGCTTTAGAGCGACTACAGTCATCTGTCATAATAAGCCCTGGTGTGGTCTGTTGAAATTCTGTTTATTGTGAAGCTCCAACCACCTCTCCTAACAAACTACGGTTACAAACTAGAATCCAAATGACTTGTTTCCTAGCTGTCTTCCCTGAAACAGAAGCTCACAAAAGGGACAGAAGACTAAGAGGCTCCAAATGAGGAAGACAACCCACAGTTTGTTTAGTCATCTTCTATATAATTTATGGTTTAAGCAACAAATCACAGGAAATACAAACCAGTGCTTATTGTGACATGCAATATGCCTGGTCTTTCATATGGCAAAGAAAGAGAATAAAGGAAACCAGGAGCAAAATATAATACGTACACATTATGACCATGTTCTCATGGAACAGTAAAATAGGAATGGTAAACTACCAGCTAAACGAACCTGGAGTTTTTTTCATGTGCCATCCAAACACAGGAACCTCTAGACTTCTTACCAAACAAGCCAGAATTCATATTTTAAGAACAAACCCCAGTTTACAATCCTGGTTTATATGCAGAGTGCAACAAGACAGGATGTGGGGCTTGGATAACATGGCACAGAAGCCGCTTTGGGTGTGTTTATAGCTAAGCATGGAAATCATGTAGCCTTCAGTCCAGGGTGGGAATTATGAGTCCCAAGGCCTTCTTCACAGGCCCCTGATGACAATAAATTTTCAGCCTGTACAGAAGGATTGCTGCTTCTAAATTGTGCAGAAGCAGCAATTCTTCTCCAAAGGCAAATTCTGGGCCTTGGTAGAGGGGATGGTGTGTAATGATCCCCCCGCTACCGTGGAAATTGAAGAAAGTTACCTAGAAATAAACAGCAAGTATTTTCAAGGTTTTAATAATGCAAAATACAGTGGTGCCTCGCATAGCGAACGCTTCGCTATGCGATGAATCCGCACAACGATGGGTCCCGGGCCATCGCTGGAGCGTTCGCTCAGCGATGGCCCCTATGGGCTTTTTTCGCTATGCGATGATCGCGCGGACGTGATCAAAGCATAGCGAACACAGGCCCCTGATGACAATAAATTTTCAGCCTGTACAGAAGGATTGCTGCTTCTAAATTGTGCAGAAGCAGCAATTCTTCTCCAAAGGCAAATTCTGGGCCTTGGTAGAGGGGATGGTGTGTAATGATCCCCCCGCTACCGTGGAAATTGAAGAAAGTTACCTAGAAATAAACAGCAAATATTTTCAAGTTTTTAATAATGCAAAATAATTCCATTTAGGGAGGGGCCTCTATGAAGTGATGCTGGATGGCCGCCGCAATGGAGAAAACTCGCAGAACGGTGAGTTTTAAGTCCATAGGAATGTATTAAATCAGTTTTAATACGTTCCTATGGACTTTTTTGTTTCACTTAACGATGGATTCGCTGAGCAAGGGTTAATCCGGAATGGATTAACCTCGCTAAGCGAGGCACCACTGTAATTCCATTTAGGAAGGGGCCTCTATGAAGTGATGCTGATTTAATCTGCTTTCACTAGCAACAGCTAATAAGACAGCAGGTATTAGCATACAACTTTTTAAAGGACTGCCCGTCTTGCATGAAGTTCTCACGTCAACCCTGTTACATGTATCCACAGTGATTTTATTTTTATTTTATAACATGACTACGGTAGTAACCATGCATGAAACGAACACTAAGCTCAGCAGTTTTCCAAACCTTTCTGAATTAACTCTCTACGCTTTTATTTAAATTCAAGAGATGTGAAAAATAAGATCAATAAAAAGGTATTAAAAATAGCATTCCACATCTGAAGGCATTAGAATGTCTACAATACATTTAACTCCTACATGCCAAAGGTCTTGTTTACACCTTTTAAGCATCAAGAGAGGAGACTCTGGAATGGCATTTACAGATCTGTAACCTAAGTTTTTCTTAGAAGTCCCTTCAAACCAATGGCAGCTACATGACAGCACTGCATCCCTCTTTCAGAAGGGCATTTTGAAGCATTTTTACAGAAGCTCACTTCCAGGATGACCTCAAGAACGTTCTCAGCAGAGGAAGGTTCCCCGGATGGGGCGATAAACACGAAAAATGTTCTTGGTCTCCAGAAGCACAAACAGCTCCCTCTAGTGGCACAGGAGAAATCCAAGGGAAGGCACTGCATGACCTCCGCAAGGCTACTGGACTGCATCTCCCATCACCCATCTCTGTTAATGACGTGGGCCAAGGCTGGTGGGAACTGCAGTCCATTGGCCATGCCTTCCTCAGCCCTGTCCCTGAACTCAATGATGATGGGGATGCTGCCATCCTGAGGAGTAGCCATTCACAGCCCAAACCCTGCTGGTCTCATGCATTCTTGCAGCCATCATGCCACAGTAAAACTATCAGGTACTAGATGAAGAAAGGCTTCCTTTTCTCTACTCTGAGCTTCACACCATTCTACTTCAGTGGATGATCCCACTGAAGTGGGGGGGGGAAGCACACCCCCTTTCTGCCACATGGTGACATAATTTTATACCCTAGGAAGGAAGGAAGGCGCCTTCTAATACGTCCAAATGTTGGTCCAGGAAGCCCAGTATTGTTTATGGCTTTATGAGGCACACCGCAGTACAGGTGTTTTCTCCTCCCCCAACATCCATGGAACTGGTACCTGCGATTTCCGTTATCCGCGGTTTACCACACCACGAAGAGTCAGACACGACTAAACGACTACAATAAAAAACATATAAGGGGGTGGGCCTTGTGGACTTTGTCCCATCCCCTTTCATGCTGTACACAGAGTTTGCTACGATCTGCAGTTTCGGGTATCTGTGGTAGATTGTGGAACATATCCCTCATGGACATGGGGGGGCTTCACTCGCATTCATCTACCATAACTGGTATCTCCCCCCACCACCATCCATGAATTCACCAGATCCTTTTAAAGTTTTCCAAGCTAGCATTCATTACTGCATCACCTGGCCACAAACTCTCACTCAGTTATGCGCTGTGTGGCCAGAATCTCTCATTACCAAGCTTCAGGGGTATTCCCTACGTCAAGGCTAGCATAAGGAAGAGAAAGGAAAACTTGCTTCCACCCATTTTCTCTATACCATGTTATGACTCTGCACATTTCTACCATGACTCTCCTATCCAACTTTCCCTCCAATATTTATGTACAGTGGCGCCTCGCTTAACGAGCGCACCGCATAACGACAAAATCGCATAGCGATCGAAGAGTCGGACATGACTAAACGACTACGATAGACAACATACAAGGGGGTGGGCCTTGTGGAGTTTGTCCCATCCCTTTGCATGCTGTACATAGCGTTTGCTACTATCTGCAGTTTTGGGTATCTGTGGTAGATTGTGGAACATATCCCTCATGGACATGGGGGGGCTTCACTCGCATTCATCTACCATAACTGGTATCTCCCCCCACCACCATCCATGAATTCACCAGATCCTTTTAAAGTTTTCCAAGCTAGCATTCATTACTGTATCACCTGGCCACAAACTCTTGCTCAATTATGCGCTGCGTGGCCAGAATCTCTCGTTATCGAGCTTCAGGGATATTCCCTGCGTCAAGGCTAGCATAAGGAAGGAGGAGGAAAACTTGCTTCCACCCATTTTCTCTATACCATGTTATGACTCCGCACATTTCTATCATGACTCTCCAACTTTCCCTCCAATATTTATTTATAATTCCTGGCTTTCTTCCACTGAGCTTCAAGCGGCGTACACGGCTTCCTCCCTCTCCACCTCATCTTCACAACAGTCCTATGAAGTAGGCTTGTGTGACAGTACGTATGATTGGCCCAAGGCCATACAGGGAGCTTCACAGCTAAGTAGGCATTTCCACTCGTATCTTCAGGGGCTCCGTCCACTCTCAAAACCACAACCTCATGCTACAGCACCACAACAGGCTCAAGCATCGGACCTTTTCTTCCTAAAGAGGTTGCTCCAGCCCCCTGACAGTTTCAGAGGCTCCTTTCCAACTGGCAGCTGCCATCTAGCAACATCTACATAAGCACACTTTCCCCACCTCTGGCAATTATCTTGAGAAGACCAAAATTATCTTAAGACCAAGCACTTCTTCTGCCTCCCACCCACTAATGCCCAATTCTATTTTTCCTTACTTGGATTCTTGGCCCCATTCAAATACAACCCATAACTAACTCATCCTGACTTACCTGACAAGGTACTTGGGAATACAGTCGGACCCCTGGGTCAGCATCCGTGTTTTCATTTATTTACAGTCTGAAAATATTAATATCCCCCACCCCAAAAATATGTGCTTCCATGATTTAATTACCAGAATTGGCAACTAGAGGGCGCTAGAGGCATGCTATGTATAGGATATGCTATTACAGTGGTGTCCTGCATAGCGAGCGCGCCGTTTAACGACGAATCTGCATAGCAATGCAGATTTTGCGATCACAAAAGCAATCACATTGCGATGTTTAGAATGGCTAAACATCACATTGCGATGATCGGTAAGTGTTTTGCTTACCGATCTTCGCATTGCGATGTTTGGAAAACAGCTGATCAGCTGTTCCAAAATGGCCGCCGGAAGGAAAAAATGGTCACCTACATCATTTTCGTGCAGTTTCCTTGCGGCTTCCTTGCTTACTGAAGCGGCGAAAATGGCAGCCGTATGGAGGATTTCCACATAGCAGTGAGTTTATCCCCCAAAGGGATTTTTTGCCCCGTATAGCGACGATTTCGGATAGCGACGATTTATCCGGAACGGATTATCATCGCTATGCGGGCCACCACTGTATCCACTCTTTTTGGCATCTGCCAGGGAGCTTGAAACTGATCCCCCGCGGATATGGGGGTGGTACTCTATAAGGCATGCATAAGACCCATATACACCTGATGTTAAAAGACAGCTTTCCACATATTAGTAAGGGAGAAAAAGTACATATACTACCAGTGATATTTGTTCATGTATGGGGAACCTGTGAAAGCAAGGTTGGTTTGTGGCAGCATACCAAACTGATCGATGCTGCGTAAATATCCAATCAGCGTCCTGCCATCTCGAAGGAGCACCAGGTGTTTCTCTAGAGGAGGAAAACATAGGGAAGCTATATTAGTGGTAGAACATCTCACAGGTTCGACTTCATAGACAAAGCAGGAAAAAGGGTTGTTGTCATTTTCCACCCAGAAGAGAGTTTTCTCAGATTTAGTGGCAATCTTCTCCCTGTGTTCCTGGGGCTTTAGTTGGGGAGTCATTCTGATCAGGAAAACTCCAGATGGGTCTCCAGGCAACTGATGCAATTTGCCCCTTGGCCCAGCGACTATGGACGGATCTGCATAACAGCTTAACTATTTGTACTTCAAGTGGAACATCCATTTCAGTGCCCTATTTACAGAACTGCTGAGGATTTACCATATTGAAATTTACTAAAGCAACAGAAGCTAAAATCACACTAAGTGACCATGACTGTTTACAGGCACCAGGGAAGTATTAGCACTGCTGCACGTCCTTCTGTTAAGCATCTAAGTATGACCTCAAGCTTGGAAAAGTTTTTTTTTTGGGGGGGGGAGGACAGCTCCCACAAACCTACAGCTCATATTGCAGCCTCACAAAGCAATGTTTCCAAGCTCTGCATGTTACCAAAGTAAGCAGGAGAGAGTTAAAACCACAAGCTCCCAAGGGGTTAATGCCAGATACACAAAGGCCACTAGTGTTGACCCGTAAGGCACTGTCCTCCTGCTGTACCACCAGCTTTTCACCACTAGAGCAGGACTGGGAAATTTATAGGTCTCCCACAATTGGCATCCATCTTTATTAGCCACAACTAACTAGTCCGTTGGCCTTGGAAAGGCCAACACTCCCGTGTTTTTGGTGAAGAATTTGAGGGGTGATACTCTGATCCCATGACAAAGCACGTATCTCAAATGAACTTTCCAAGTTCACTTCTTGGTATACCCAGTTTAAAGAACCAGGCTACTTAATATTCAATGGGACGTGGTGACGCTGTGGGCTAAACCACAGAAGCCTCTGTGCTGCAGGGTCAGAAGACCAGCAGTCGTAAGATCGAATCCACGCGACGGAGGGAGCTCCCGTCGCTTTGTCCCAGCTCCTCGCCAACCTAGCAGTTCAAAAGCATGCAAATGCGAGTAGATAAATAGGTACCATCTCGGTGGGAGGGTAAAACGGTGTTCCCTAGTCACGCTGGCCACGTGACAACGGAAAACTGTCTTCGGACAGGCACTGGCTCTATGGTTTGAAAAGCGGGATGAGCACCACCCCCTAGAGTCGGACACGACTGGACTAAAAATGTCAAGGGGAACTTTTACGTTTACCTTACTTATTATTCTGCTGGTTAGTGGTAACGGTGTAAAGATTGGCCATAAAGTTCCCTACGCCAGTACCCTTGGGCTACCAAATCTCACTCTATGCAGAAGAGCCACGTTTATCACCTGGTGCACCACCATGAAGTATTTGTTCATGCACAGATGACCAGCAGCATCAGCATCCTCTCAAGGAGGAGTGGGAAACATGTGGCTCTCCAATTCCCACTCAGGATAGTTTTCAGTCTCCTATGAAACACTCAATGAACACTCAAGCAAACACCATTAACAATAAATCTGCTTTCAAATGCATTTTAATTTGTGGCAGTACTATAGTTACGTTGGACTACAAGACCATTAATAATCCCACCAGGGGCATGGCTACGAGACATGCTTGTGAGTGGTTCTCTGGGACTTGTAGTCCAAATATAAATTGTCTCTCATCTTTGGCTCTGGGTTCTAGACAGACTTTTTTCCCCACGATACTGACTTTCCAGCAAGGAATCCACATTTAATCACTAATCACACTTATGATCTTATTAGGCTGTTTGGGTTCCTTTGAAACAGAGATGGAAGAAGTTAAGTTTTGGGGTTACAACTCCCGGTACCCCCTTCAGGCCAAAACAAAAGCAAAAGACACACAAAAACGCTGTCACGCCTTAAAGATTAACTGCTATAGTTCAGGTTTGGAAGAGGTAGCCATGTTAGTATGTGCAAGCTGATCAGGTAAGATGCAAAGAAACAAAGAGCCATGTTAGTGTGTGCAAGCATATCAGGTAAGACCCAAAGAAACAAAACAAAAAAGAACAAAAACATGTGGCACCTTAAAGACTAACCATTTTAACGTAAGCTTCCCTGGACTTCACATTAAAATAGAATAGTTAGTCTTTTAAGGTGCCACGTGTTTCTGTCCTTTTTTGTTTTGGATTTTGTCTGATAGGCTACAGTGCAATGCGCGTTTTTGGGACACCAAACTCTAAGCCTCTAAA